ATTAAATCTAACGGGAAAATCGGCCGGTTACTTCGAGTCTGCACCGTTCTTTTGTCCTTAAGGATTTGATTTGTGTGACGTATACATGTCCCAAAAGCTCCTCGAACTCTGTACAGTACTTTTCCCAGTTTTCGTACAACTTCGCCCGGCTCCCATCGGTTCTTCCCGATGTAGGATTTAATGTAAACTTTGTCACCAACACTGAAGTTTCGGATACTTGGACCGTGACTGCGCTCGTCCACTAATTTGGATGGCAACATGGCATCGAAGATGGTTCGAATGCGCCTTCCAAACATGGCTTCCGCGGGAGATTTGCCGTCTTGCACATTTGGGTTCGGGGTGGATCTGTATGATGTTAAAAATTTTGTGATCACCTGTCCAGTTGTCCCTTCTCCTCCCCCTTTCAGTAATGCTCGTTTAAAAGTGTCCACAAAGCGCTCTACTTGTCCGTTTGATTGTGGATGATAGGGTGGAGAACGAAGATGAGTTATTCCGTTTGTTCTACAGAAATGTTTAGACGATTCTGCGGCAAACTGCGAGCCGTTATCTGTCACTAAGGTCTCTGGTACTCCGAAACAACTAAATAGGGTAGACAACTTGTGGATCGTTTCTGACGTTGTACAATTTGGCATGATATATACTTCCGGCCATTTAGTGAATGCATCTACGATAATTAGAAACATTTTTCCTTGGATTGGACCGGCAAAATCTGCGTGAAGTCTTACCCAGGGTCCTGCAGGCGTAGGCCAATGCTGAGGTTCGCATTTCAAAGGATTTTTAGCGGCTTGAATGCATGATGAACAGTTACGGCATTTATTCTCGATATGTTTGTCCATTGACGGCCAATAAGCATAACTACGAGCCAAAGATTTCATTTTATTGATTCCAGGATGACCACTGTGAAACTGATTGAGAACCTTGTGACGTAATAACTTCGGAATAACAATTCGATCACCGAACATAATACAGGAGTCAACAACCATTAGTGAGTCCCGTCGACGAAAATATTGCAAAAGTTCTCCGTCAAGGCGATTGTTTGGCCATTAGGTCGAGAGATAGCATTTAACTGTACTCAGTATCTTATCACTTTCAGTGATCTTGATAGTTTCAAAGGTTACTGGGAGTCCATTAACTGCGTCATCCAACACGCGATGAACTTCTTCCTCGGCTTTTATATTTGCTACAAGGGTCTCCTCTGGGGCATTTGATTGGGAGCCTATTAATCTCGACAATGCGTCAGCTTGCCCGAAAGCGGTAGTAGACTGATACTTGATCTTGAAGTCGTAACCCAGAAGTGTGGTTGCCCATCGTTGGAGTCGGTTAGCTGTATGAACAGGAATTCCTTTCTTTGACCCAAAAACTGCAAGTAGTGGCTTATGGTCTGTTATTAGGGTAAAATGTCGACCATATATCATCTTGTGGAACTTTTTCACTGCAAAGATAATTGATAGAGCTTCTTTCTCGATTTGGCTATAGTTCCTTTCAGTCATTGTCAAAGATCTGGCAGCGTGTGAGATAGCTTTTTCAGACCCATCAGGAAAAATGTGAGAGATAACTGCGCCCACACCATAGTTAGAAGCATCTGAAGCGACGACTATCGGTAGAGAAGGATCATAATGTGTCAATAAGAGATCGGAAGTTAGAAGTTGCTTGATTTTCTCAAAAGACGCTTGGCAGTCTGCAGACCAATTCTATCTTGTGTTCTTTTGTAGTAGGTTGTTTAGTGGAGCACGTAGACGATGGAGATCGGGGAGAAAGGTACCGTAATGGCTGACCAGTCCCAAGAATGATCGTAGGGTAGTAATGTCCCTGGGTCTAGGCATTGTTTTCACTGCTTCAATGTTCTCTGGATCTGGTCGTCTTCCATCTTTATCTATTATGAACCCAAGGTACCGTACTTGCTGCATATAGAAGTCACACTTTTCCGCTTGGAGGCGAAAACCATAATCGGCTATGCGTTCTAGTACCTGGTCCAGTTTCTTCTGCAGGTCCGTTTTATCTGCTGCCGTAATTATGATGTCGTCTAAGTAAGCTGCTGCCCCTGGAATACCTTGTAACATGGTATCCATAATTTGCTGGAAAATAGAGGGCGCTGTCTTCACCCCAAAAGGTAGTCGGTTATACCGGAACAGACCCTTGTGTGTGTTGATCGTTAAGAGATCTTTGCTTTCATCAGATACAGGGATTTGTAGGTATGCGTCTGATAAGTCCAATTTTGCAAAATATCTGCCACCGTTCAGCTTTCGAAAAGATCTTCTGGTAAGGGTAACGGATACTGGTGAGACTCTAGAGCTTCATTTAATCCCGTAGAGTAGTCTGCACATAGACGAACGCTTCCATTCGACTTCTTGACCACCACTATTGGTGCAGCTCAATTCGAGAAGTTCACAGGCTCGATAACATCCATTTGCTGAAGTCGTAATTCTTGTTCAACTATTGGAAGAGCAGCATAGGGTACAGGTCTTTTAGGTCGAAAAACGGGAGCAGCTTCAGGTTTTAGAGTTAACAGTGCTTTGGCTTTCGTACATTCTCCCAATCCTTCTCTAAACACGTTTTGATGTCTTTGTAGCATGGCGTTTTTCTGATTCCATTCTGGGGTGTTGTCTGTACTTACTCGTCTGCAGATACTGTTGATAGAATAATCTGCTAGTTTAAGTGTTTCTATAAGGTCCGACCCCATTAAGTCTAGTGCTGGCTTCTTAGTAAGATACAATGTTGCATTTGTTGTTACCGTACCTTTAGAAACAGTGCATGGCACTTCTCCAACAGTATTCAACTTCCCCCCAGATGCACTGTGTGCCAGCTGTGTTGTTGGGAAAACTGTGGGTCTCCCAATGTTCTTCCACGTTTCTGGGCTGATTAAAGTAATATCAGAAGCTGTGTCCAGCTGAAGGCGGGTACGGTGTTTATTAATATTCAAGGTTACATACTTTCTTTGGTGGCAACTTCGTGCTCTGTTATGTGATACCAGTATCTTGTTGGTTGGAGCACTATATCTGTATTTCTTTGAGTAAGATTTCGAGGAACGTTGTCTATAGTCTCTTCTCCTGCAGAAGTTTTCTTTATGCCCCTTCCGATGACATTTGCTGCAACGATGTTCTTTATATAGGCAAAACCTCTTATAGTGCCAACCTCCACATGCCCAGCATGGAGATGATGGTTTGTCGCTGTTATTTCGAAAATTATGGGTACTGGAACCTTGAAAGACTTTTCTCTTGACTGCATTGACGTTACGGAAACAGTTACCGTTTTCTACCATTGAGGTATCATGCTTTAAGTTTACTAACCTTTGGCACTCAGTAGTCACTTCTTGTAGGGTCATATTAGGGCAGTGTTCGAGTTTGTTTAGGATTCTGGTTCGGATATCGGCATCTTCGGGTGAACGCAGATAAATACTAAGCATTTAAACTGATCTTCAGACATGGACGACAATCTAAACCTCTCACATTCTCGGTTCACAGTTCCTGCATGCTTCACCCAATCATCTCCTGGTTCTTTCGTTAACTTTAAGCACTGGTAACGGATATTAAATAGAGATGATTGTTCTCCGAAGATTTGGGATAGGGTTTTGACTGTATCATCAAAACTAAAATCTCGTGGGTTCTTCGGAAGAATGAAGTTGCTATAGCGTTCATGTTCCATAGTCCCAAGTTTTCTAAGAAGTATTCTGACTTTTGAAGCATCATCCAGTTTGCAAAGATCAATATAAAACAAATCTTCATACTTCTTAAACCACGACTCGAAAGTTACACCTGCTACACCATCAAAATTAAATTCATGGATGGCATTAATGACTGAATCAGTATGTGATACTTGAGATTCACTAGAAGCAGGGTTTTTCTCGGACAGGCAGAATTTCTGCATCAGGGTTTCCATGATTCTAATTTGGGACTCTTCAAACCTCTTTTCTTGACGCACCATATAAGCTTCTAATTGCTCCAAGGAAATATTCATTGAAGTTTTCATCCCCGTCGCCACTGATAAGTCGTGTAGGTTGAACGCTATATACGATTCCTAAGCTATTTCGGTAACCCGCAGTTTAGAACTACACAGCGACTTGAACTCCAGAGAGAAGACACAAGAATGAGAGAAAACACTTTATTCCAAGGTTCATTCTAGTACAGAAAATCAAGGGTATTTATAGATGTTGGCGTCTGTTAAATTAACATCATATTTCAGCCAATCCGTTAACGTCATATTATGCTACCGACCAATGGTGGCACGCCACGCTGGAATTCTCGAACGTTCCATCATACTCTGATTGGCTAGGCCCTTCGGCTCCTTTTTGGGCCTGTGGAGGCTCCGTTGAAGTTCTCCGGAAGCCGACCCAACAGTTTTCGAGTTGGGTGATATTTTAGCAGTCTAGCACATCACACATCGATAACCGAGTGAGATCAAACGGTCCAAATCTTTTTTTCGGACTTATAATTAAAGAAGACTGTCCCCAATACTAAGTAGATCATCCTTTTTGGTTATAGTTAACATTTACCAAGTTCTGTGGCACTGAATCTCTCCTCACTTATCTAAAATCATTAAGCCATACTAACCCCATGCATTCTCCAACCAAGGAGAGCGGTGGCTTTGTAGTTAAGGCGTCCGTCTTTTAATCATTGTTCCCCAGGTTACAGCTCCACCCCACCTACTTGAGTCTGGGCTACGAAGTGGTATCATTAGCCCTAACAATTAGTGTGGTTTATATTGAAATCTCTAGTGAGTGAGTTTATTTTTTAAAAGGGTTATCACGCAAATGCATTCATGTTTTTAATTCATAGATCTCATAAGAAAATCCTCTGTTATCTGCGTATTACACCCGGTATCTCAGTTTTTACACATAATTCTCTGTCATCACTCCAACCTTATTAATTTCAATTTACCCACTAGTTTCTTTTTGTAATGTTTTTATTTACAATCGGGAACAATGCATTGTGTTACTAGATTAGTTAGTTTTCTCCCATCAAAAGTATCATATTGTTTATCTATCTCATCTATTTGTTTCTTAGGCATAGTGACTCAGTACTTGAAGACAAGGATTGTGAAAATATATATGAGTTGGTTTATTGCACTCACAGGCCTTTAGCACAAGCAGCTGGTGAATTTTTAACTTTAAAACTTTTTGAAGTTGATTCCCATGCTCCTCCCACTAGAACCAGAAAAGGTAAAAAACGTAGTGAAAATACACCACTCATTCGTGACCTCGTGCAATTTTTCATCGAGAGTGAAGTAAGTTTGAAAAAAGCAACACCAGTTTTCCTAGTTTTTATTTATAGTCAACTTACAAATTGCTTAAAGTCGTACTTTTAAAGTAAAAATTTCTTACAATGAAGTCGTGTTTCCTTTTGAGTAATATTTATATTTTATTTGAAGTAACTAACTGATGATCTGGATTTTCATAGGTAATCACATTTAGAGCGTACTTGAACGTCATTAAATATCAACATTCTAGGCGTTAAATGATTCAAACGAAAAACACATTGATGGATTTCAGTGGTAAAATACTCAGATGATTGGATTATTCGGTTTTAATAAAATCTCATCAGGCTAGCTTATGATTTAAGTGCAATTAGGTTAAGACGATTGATATGTCGGTAGATTGGTTGAGACCTTAATATTCCATATAAACAATTCTGTCAAGAAAGAAAATTATTTCTTTAATAATAAAGAATTCAGAGTCGTTTCAAATATCAGTTAATAAGTTAAATTAACACCATTATATTTATTTAAATAAGAGATATATGAATGTGTTTCCTCAGTTAAAAGTGGTGATTTGTCATTTTCGTCCACTTACCTGTTTTGCCTCATCGTTGGTTGGTAATTTATGTAACTGATAATTCATCTTAATTCATTTTAGTTACATGAACATGCTACTTATTTGGTCGATAGTTTATGGGATTTATGCCCAATGCTTCGTGATTGGGAAGCTATGCTAGATTTGCTTCTTGAAGAACCAGGTAGAGGTGAGGAACCTATGGATGCAAATCAAGAAACAAGTTTGATCGAAATTATGGTTTGTTGTGTTCGTCAAGCAGCAACGGGGGAATCACCAGTAGGACGACAGGTTAGTCACTTCCAAGTATGTTTTGTCTGTTGATTTTTATTTTATTTATTATATACTACGAAACATTGTGTGAATAAGCATGAATTTAATCTATAGCAATTTATAAATTATTCATTGTGTGCAGACTGGTGGCCATCATTCACATTCCAATACCAACTTACTGACTGGCATGAGTTTACTGGAGACTGGTGGACGCGGTCGAGGTGGTGCAACTACCGGTACAGGGAACAGCGCTGCACCCTCTTCACGTGAAGCTCGTGCCCTGGCCGAAGAACGTAGTCGTATGACAGAAGCAATGATAACTGCTATACCAGCACTCCTTGCTAAGTATGGTGAATCTCCTGAACGAGCTACAAACCTTCTTGCTATTCCACGACACATGGAAATGGAACTCTACACTACGGGCCGACATGAAAGACATTTGGATCTTCTTCTACAAGCTGTTCAGGTACGTTCACGTTAATCTTAATAGCTCATCTCGTTTGTGTTTATTCATTGCAATGCCATCTGCACACTTAAGTTTTAATGTCTTTCTTGATTTTGATCTCCATATCCACATGAGTAATTAGCAATAAATATGATGTTTAACGAAAAATGTTCCACTGTTGGATTTCACACGTATAATTTTCTCTACTGGCTTAAAAACAAATCAAATATTTCTCATACTTTTCAGGTTCACTATTACTTGGATCTCGTATCTTATCAAGTAGTGAAATTAATTATTCATCAAGTTTGTATACTCGGTTTTAGCGAGACAACTATTCCCGTTGTTCCCTTGCTCAAGCCTATATGAATCGAGACTAAGACCCTCAATCATGATCGAAAGTCGATTGATTTTGCAACCATGCTAAGTTTTTTCAAGGTTAATTCAATAAAACTAAGTCGTACGTCAATATTAGATTTATCAACATCATAGTCACTCCTCTTTCATTTCATGACTACATACTCTTCACAATTGGCATAAGTCTTTTGAAACCAATACAATGCTGATTGATTACATTCACCACTTAAACAGCATTGTAAAAATCAGTGTAAGGCAAGACTTATTTATTCTGTCGGCTACGGGATTTTCGTCATGTATTTATTACACGCTACAATTGTTAAGTAGTGATCTGTAGTTATCTCACATTGATAAATTTTTAATTAATGTAGTTTCATCACTGGAAATGTAAGCATTCCTGATTATTGTATAATAATTTTGTAACTACATTCACTTACTAGTTTTTGCTAAACGCAACTTAGAAAGTTCAGAGTACTAAGCAATTGCATTTATTAATCTAACAGTGCATCGTTTGGGAATTTTTATCTAATGTTTAGTCAAAAGTACTTATTAGAAAACATTTCTCATTTTCAGGATATTGTAGAACGTCATACTGATCCACACACATTATTGGCTTGTTCGCGCGTTTACGAATCGTTGTGTATTGATGAATTAAGCATTTCTGCAAAGTGTCAAACTGTCCGTGGCACGCTGTTGGATCGTTTGGTGGATCTTTATCGAGATGCATTCTTAAACTACTTTAACGATCAGGTTAATTTTCGTACAAAAATTCTTATTGTTATGCCGTAAACTTTGGGTATTTTTCTGTTATCATATATTTAGATAAAAAAGAGACGTTCATAAAGAATGTTCGTATAAGCATAAGTATTCTAAAACCCAGTTTTATTATTGGGCTAGCACTATTGTTACGTTTACTAGCCATTGCACTTGGTTTTGTGATTTCATAGACACTTCTGGCTTTCATGTCAAGTACTTTACAAATATATTTTGTTGTTACAACTTTTATAGACTATCGACGATGCTTTGACTCGATTTTAGTACATACGCCACTGCTGCTAATATATGTTTGCTCATATCCACTCACGTACATCTTGTTGGATCTTAAATCTTGAATCGATTATAAGTGTAAATTACGAAAAATACACTATTTTTATTTTATCCCCCAAGATAAATGTCACCCATTTATGTTAGTTATATCTTTCCACCTTTTAGGGAGAGGAACCCGATCAGGATGATGAGTTTCACTTACTAGCTGCATTGAAACGAATCTATGCGTTTTACGCGTGAGTCATAAATTTATTATTCCTTTGTAAACATGATTCTGTTATATATACCAAAAGTGGACAGCTATAAATAAAGTTCTTACTGTCAAATATAGTTAATTTATTGGGCCTCAGAAATAACAGTTCACCATTTAAAATCATTGAGATGTCTTTTTTTATTAATATTATTTGTTCGCAACGATTAGAGAAAATTAACTTTCCATTATATACCAAAGATTGTTGTTGTGACATCAGAAATAACAAAAAACCTATTATCAACCCATAAATACCAATTGCGGATTAGTAATTAACATTTTGTCATCTGTGTAGAGCTACATGAGCATCACAACATATGTGATTTCACTGCGTTTTTTTAGTCATGCTATTTAACCCTTGGAACAACTTAATTTAGATAAGCTTTTATTTTTATTCATATGGATGGTTTATAAAGTGCCAGTTCTTAATCTAACCTACCTTCTTAACTTGTCTCACATCACAGTTGTGAATCTATTAAGATGGGTTTAGTTAACTGGGTATGATTTCCCAAACAGTGTTCACTAAAATTGTGATCAAGTTAGAGAATTTTACTCTTATGATATCGGTTGAATTTTTAGGGCTTTCAAGTAATACAAGGTCTGTTCAGCAAAATGGTTTTTCCAGGGATTTTGGCAACATATTTTTATGAGCGTATAAACTTAATACTTAGTCGTGTATCCATCTTTGAACCACACATTTTCTTGTGCAAGCTAGTGATATCACGATTTCCAGTAAAGTGGGCTTAATGTGTCAACTCAACGTTTTATTCAAGCCACTCGCGATTACTGGTTGAGAATCTTTGTAGATAATTGTGACCTCTTTCATTCAGTAATATATGATGTCTGATAATACTGTAAATTATCCTTGACGTTATTTAATCAGATGAATTTTACAAGAAACTTGTGTTTAGCTGTCCTTGAAATCAACATTTTTGTGTCATCTACAGTAATGAGCTTAATTATTCAATCATAATCGTCGTTGTGTAATTATCATAGAATTCTGAAGTATCGTACTTACTGCTGCAATATTTCGTAAACAGTTATTTGACCTCAACGTTTCCTGACCTTGAGAAAATTGTCATAACTAAGTGAAATGGTGCAGTCTGTGTGTTATCAATCCTAAAATGCTATAAACGCTATGCTTCACACGATATTTGTTTTCAGTTAACCGAGTTCTTGATTGCTGGACATTCGTTTTCATTCTTTTTATATTAAAATTAATTTCTTATTTCTTTATACTTCATATTTCATCACACACCATTGCCATTACACAAAACTAGTTCAGAATTTCGACGTTAATCAAATTCATTGTAAATAATCTTTTCGTAGTAAACCACAATCTAATATGTAGCACAATTTATCTAAAGTTAACATTTGGAGTTACTTTTTTCCTTTGAAATGCTGTTATATGAAACAGTAAGAACGTATTGTAAGATTTTATAAGTCTGAAATGGCTAACCATTTTTGTGAAATTTACCGGAAAATCTTTGTGGTATTTTCATTCGGAGATACTTATTTGTAACCGACAGCTTATATTTATCCGGAAATTTTCATACTGCTTTTATTTTTCGAATAATTTTAGTTGTCACGATCTTTCTGGATTGGATTTATGGGATAGTCTTATCAGGATCGCACAATCCGGAAATGATGCCAACGGTGAAATTGTGGCTCAGGCTGTTAGCTGTTGCTCTAAAGCTCTACTGTGGAATCTTGCTAGAATTGGAGAGGCTGATGTCGACAAAGTAAGTTTAGATTCTTTCTATGTATTTCTCTTGTCCATTTCATTACAGTATTTTAACGTGTTTTTTGACCTGGTATTGTGCAGAATAGTGCCTTAGTTTAACGTTGATCTCTTGTGTTGTTTTTTTTCGAGGGAGAGGAGATAACTGTGAACTGCAGTTTTTGTTTGAAGTTAACCGACGTCAAACTGATTTATTTCTTGTATTCTATTTTTGTTCAGGAAAGTTGTTTTTCAGAGTGACTCTTTTCATAACCATTCACTCTTTATACAGTTCCCGCGCGTACATACGTCCATCTACTATCTTCATTCAAAGCATATATTTGAAGTTATACTTCGTTATCATCTTTCTTAACAATTATATCTATGGGAATTCGTTTGATTCGAAAAACACGCAACTATCTTTAGATTTATTAGTTTTAAGTTGTGACTCCCCAAGCCCAACTGCTAGTAATTGTCCATCTCTACCTTTTTTATTGATATTTGTGTTGCATTGTTTCTGTTTGCAGACGGATTTGAACAAACTAAGAAGACAGTTAAATCTGTATATGGACGTTTGTATTGGCTACCTAGATCATTCATGCAAACGGTTAGCATCAGAATCGTTTCTGTCCATTTGTGATTTGCTAGTTGTTTTTTCACGTCATCTTTCCATTCACTTGCCAAATCTGAAATCTATCATTTATACAGCCGACAGGGATCTAGAACTCAAGTTGACCAATTTTCTGGAGCAACGGGTTTTCGTTGATGATGACGACGTAAGTTTCTAATATTATAACTAGGTTTTTGTACCGTTTCTTTCTAAATTCAGATCTCTATACCATCAATTTATGTATTACTTGTTTTGTAGCTGTAGTTATTTGCAAATTGTATATTAAAATGTGGTATGGTGGAATAATAGTAAAAGCATATGAGTTCCAACCATTAAGTCCCAGGTTCGAACCCCGCTACACTCTCGGTTTTAGCAACTGGGTTTTATCATTAGTCCTCACAATTAGAGCGTGGTTCATATCCGAGTAAATACAAGATGAGTTTATTTAAGTTTTTTTTGTTTACTGAAATATTAAAATATACTATCAAGTTCATCATCTTAATGAGATCGTTTATTCCAATGGTTTATCTTTCTGTAATAATATTGGACTTTCAAAATATGTAAATATTCATACTTATTGTTACCAATAAATATTGATAAAAATTTAGAGAAGCTTTGCCTGTCAGAATCGTGGTTATAATTTCTCTACCCCACAATGGCTATCTCAGCTATCACCTAACGTCCTAAGACTCAATCAATTATATAACATGAGTCAGTTGAAGCTAGACCACCATTGAAAACCTGGAAGCACTGGACGGCCGTTTCGTCCTAGTATGGGACTCCTCAGCAGTGCGCATCCACGATCCCGCACCACGCGGGGCTCGAACCCAGGACCTACTGGCTTCGCGCGCGAGCACTTAACCATTAGACCACTGAGCCGGCATCCAGCGGTGTTAATGTCTAACTTCAACCAATCCACGAAGTTGCGCCACCATATACCATTGTCTTCAGTGAGCTGATATCTCACAACAGACCTGGTTGTACTCCACTGGTAACGGCTTCCCACTAGAACTCCAGGAATATCTCTTGAAGTGGTGCGGGATCGTGGATGCGCACTGCTGAGGAGTCCCATACTAGGACGAAACGGCCGTCCAGTGCTTCCAGGTTTTCAATGGTGATCTAGCTTCAACTGACTCAAGATTTCAATCTGTGAAAATTTCTAAAAATCTCCACAAACCCCTTCTGATAATTATATAACAATCGTATAACGATAGTTGCTAGATGTAACACAAACCTACAATACAAGAAACAGAAATACAAATAATAATCATTTGTAAAATTTTCCCAAAAGTTCCAATGTCTTTAATATTCACTCCATTGTAACACATCACCCTGGATAATTTATACCGTCATGATATAGAATGAGTTGATTTTATTCATTTGTATTACATAGATAATTTTAAAACAGGGATGTATGTTTATAGGATATCCCTAATTTAAATGATTCCTACTACTTTTCAATAGTTGAATTTTAATTAAAACATGTGATTGTTTTATTTTTATCATAGGAAGAGGATGATGAAAATGTCAAATTTGAATCGCTTCACGAAAGGCGTACACAACTAGCTGCATTTTTTAAACTAGTAATATATAATTTGATTCCTATACGAGCAGCTGCTCCGATCTACAAATACTATATTCGGTCTTTCAATGATTTTGGTGATATTATGAAATCTACACTGGCCAAAGCTCGTGAAATCAATCGCGTGCACACCGCTCGTATGATTGCGCATTGTTTAGAATTATGTTATCTACAAGTAGAATCAGCTTCTAATGTAAGTTGACATAGTGTTTATTCCCATTTGAACTGCTTACTTTTCCTTTTGTTTCTTCAAACGAGATTCATAAATTTATGTTATTATGCTAGTAGGTGCCATGTTTTGTTCTGATCTAAAGAATGCGATTGCTCTACATTTACATGTCCTTAAACAAAAACTATTGGGAAATAGTTTTTGTATCTAACTGCATCATATTTCTGTACTTTTTTATCTTCTGTTGGGCATAACTATACGTCAGTTTAAGCGACACAGAAACCCTTTTGCTGTATTTCAGCAGATTTTGGGTACATTTATTCAATAACCTAAAATTTGATTCACAGAAAAAGGAAAGGTGAGTAAATAAAAATATGTGCTACATACTTAAAAATATTCAAATGTTATCTAGGTTTTGGAGAATGAAAATTGAAGGATAATACTATGTTTAGGACATGCAGAAAGAAAAGGAATAGAGTGACTCTGACCAGTCAGCTACAACGTAGGACCAGGCTCATATGTGCATCGGTCCAAGTTGCCATACCTCATTAGCACAACAAAATGAGCACCGGACTCATAGAAGTGGTTAATCCAGTGATGGACTCGGTCATGTTGCAACCATTTTATTTTTCGTCACCCAGAATCTTTAAGCATAAATTGCGATTATCTTATGGGGGCTCTAAACTACACTTCCTTGAATTACTGATTGCTGTTCTTTTTTCTGTTTGTTACTAGCCTTTTCCCAGTTTATTCCTACTTATATACAACACTACAGGGCTAGAAAGGCAATGGCTGAACAAACATTACACATCTGAACCGTTCTTACCAATAAAGGTTCACCATTTCTACCAGACGTCTTGACCTATTCGGTCGCCCCACTGTACACTAAATGTTTTTGAAAAAGGTTTCATAATCAAATGCCCATAACACTTTAGCTTTTTTTGAATAAACCGAATAAAGCTTAAGATTGTATCCGGTGCATTGCAGAATTCCTTTAATTCCTGTCATGAAAAGAAATTTGTATGTCATGCATTCCTGTCTGCATTCGATTTTATAATGAATTGATGGGTTGTTTGTTTTCTCGCTTTCAGAATTGTGTTGAACGTGGTTCTGAAGGTCTTCAAGCTGTAAAGGAACTTGCTAGGCGTCTGAATCTCAGTTTCGGTCTCGACCTAATTAAAATACGCGAATCTATGGTTGCCTTTCACTCCGAAGGGATACAGTTTTGTGTTTCCCGAGCTGCTTCCACAGCTGCTGCAACAGGTCAAACCCCTGGTGTCCCAAGCAATTTACTTTTCCTTGAAGTTGTCGCTGAATTCTCAAACAAGCTTCTCAGACAAGATAAGAAAAGCATATATGAATATCTCCGTCGAGTAAGTTTCAAGAGTTGCCTCGTAACTCAATTATGCAAAGTATTTCTCGTTGCGAAAATGATGATGATGATGTGTGTTAAACTACGTTTTATCATGATTGATTATTAGAGTACTTGAACACTCAATATTTACATTTAACCACTAATAATGATGTGACTGATCAGAACTGAGAATAATGATCTAGTTCTTAGTTTCATTTGATAGCAATTAACCTACAACACCTGAATCTTATGGTTTATTTTTTTAATATCATGTATATAAGTAGATGTAAGTTTGTAGCTGAAGCTAGATCAGAACACACTTTGCGAACGATTTTTTTCAGTTAATCGGTCGTAAACGGATAGCTGACACAAATACGCATTCTCTAGATACTGTTTCTTTCGTAGCTACAGATGATTATTTCTCTTATTCGTAGTCCCTTAACAGAGTAGAAAGTTTGACGTGTATCCAGTAATTTGAATGTTTTTATCACAGTAAATTGGGCTTTTGACTTGTCTTTTATTTCTCTATACTTTTTTTAAAAATTTCCATCTTTTGTGATTAGATTTTCCCAAATCCTGTTGGCAGTGAATGGGCTAGTCTGCATGCCTATCGATCAAGTCTGGATCCTGACAACACTGATAATGCTCCAGGACATGATGGAGTTAGTCATGCTACAAATCCTCAAGCTGTCAGCAGTTCCAATCCTGCTCCAGTACAAGGTAACACGGTGGTACCAACAAGTGGACGTGTAGGATATGGAGGTAGGGGGCGCGGCAAACGACTCCGAGATTCTGACTCCTCTCTTCGTAAGCAATAAATTATTTTATCCTTATGTAGTCAAAGTTTTGCCATCTTCCTATAGTTTTATTATATGTTGAGAAAAGTTTAGTTTTATCAGTTAAGAAAACCTACAAATCTAGATGCTGAGAATTCGTATTACAGATAACCACTAAATCACTTGCTAAAAGCTTTACTAGTACTGCTTAGGGAAACTTTGTTACGTAGTAACAGGTTTCCAGCACGTAAACTCATGTGTGTGCTCGCCATGTAACTTAATTAACACGAAACTTTAAAAATGTGTTTTTCCGATCGTTCTTTGTGACTATATTATGTAGATTTGGCAGTTCAATCAATACTGATCAAATGATTGTGAATCAGTTAACGGGATTGAACAATGATGCATTTAGATGATTTAGTTATAAATGTTTAAGAATATATATCTTAAATAAATTAAAACAAGTGAACATATGACGTAATTAGTTAAAGTCAGAAATTTATGTTAAGTAATCAAATCAATTTACGGATTACATAGATTGTAATTGTAAAGAATGAGATAAGTTGTCTAGTCTTTGAAAATACTTAATAAGATGAATAGAATAGCTGATAAATGTTTTGATGAACACTAATCGTGTAAGTATAGATCTAAATAATGGAAAACATAGTTGAACTATATCCAGTATAATTTCAGGGGTCATTTGATAGAATAAATAGACATTTTATGAACGCGTAACCCCTAGTTTTCTCATTTGTTTTTTTTGTTGTGCACAAAAAGATGGAATCATTGAAGCTCTGTACTCTTCTGTCAATATCTCTTTAAGTAGTATACTTCACTCGACTCAGTTGATCATTAAAATAATTAAGATTCAACATGTAGATGAAGACGACTTCCGAAATAACTATGCAGAGCCGTTGGTTTAGTCACTAAAATACAGTATTCAAATATCAAGTTCCACATTACAATGTTACTTCACTTGGTTCATTTTTAATCTCCACTTTTTATTACTATCCGTTGCACAAAATAATAATAAGTCGAAACCAATTATACAAACTTATGTTTGATATCAAGATTTATCAACTAAAAACAAGTGTACAGAAATCAAACCACGCACTTATAGCGAAGTTACATAGTGATCTTGAAGGATTTATGGATAATTTAGCAGCTGTGATTGGATGGATGAAAGGAATATGCAGATCGTTTGCTCACTTAACAAATCTGATTTATCATCTTCCAGTCTTCATAGCGTTGGGGTTGGTAAGTTAGATGGAATTCTTCGCATCGATATATTGCCCCGTGTTTATTAAATGTTTTTTTATCGTTCTGTCTGTCTTTCGATGAACCAAGTGAAGTGATTAGAAACCCAAATACCATACAGTGCCTGAATGGGCATCCAGTAAAACTAATTCTGCCAAAGCTGATAAAGTGAGGTGACAAATTCCGACTGCATTGGTTAGGAAACAAGAATCATAACTCTATTCTATTGGGCTTTTTCTAGACGTAATGGCACCAGTTTTTTTGTCTCAAAAATTTGAACGATGTGTTGTTGTTAAATAGCCTACATAGCTCTGTTTATGGAACAAGAACGTGTAACCGGACTTTTCCTGCTTCAGTTAATAATCAAATATCGGATTATACTTTTGGATATCGTTTCCAAATTTTACCTGTGTATCGCACTTTTACTTTCACTGTTTGTCAATTGTCCTTGTATACCATGTTTATCTTTTCTAATCGTTATTTTATAATATATAGCCGACGCAAATTTAAATCCACAGTCCACAAGTACAGCTATCAAAAAGAAGCGCACCAATATCGCGAGTAGTAGCAAAAATGCATCTGGAAATGTTTCTAGTATGACTGCAGTTGACCCTTCCCGACCTACATCACCTTCAGAAATACCCCTCAACATTGCAGGATGTGCACCCCAGTAAGTTGACTGCTTATATTGTGTCGAGACTTTTTTGTATGTAGTACAGTAATTTCTTTAAATGATCATCTTCCAAATCAGTCTTAATAAATCAACCAAATGTTTTTAATTTTTGAAGCCATAATCCTTCGACATCGATGACAACTTTATCTACTCCCGTTCATCCGTCTAACCAATAAATTATTCAGAAGAAATGAATTTTATGGCCGACGCGTCTGTGTGTTTCACCGCTTCGAAATTATGCAATTATCTAGAAGTGTTTCGTTCAGCGAACATCTTCAGATGTTTATATCTGTAAATATAGACAACTGATGCTTTATATAATTATCTTCACACAGATTAATCCCAACTGGCTGTATTATTCAAATCCCTTTCCAGAAAATGTACATTCTTTTTAGGTTATCGACTTGATTATCACAATTGTTCACGAACTTAGTTTTTTTCTATTTGTCTCTCCCTTCTATACTAAAGCAAATTGTTTTTGTATCATGCGTTTTTTTAAAGCCCTCATTTTTACTTGATATCTAATCCTCCCCGAAGTTATTGTATTTTCAAATTTTGTTTGTATACAGTGATCAGCCATTATCAGGCTGGAAGAATGCTGTGTAGCTCATTTAAGCAATGTTGTTCAAAATTGTGCAGAGCAGAACTATTTTTACACAGAGAACTTGCTAATATTATTATGTAAATTGCCTTTTTGTAAAACTAATCACCTTTATTAAATAGTACCGCACTATTTAGTTTTTTTTTTTCAACTATTTGTCCTCTTTCTTTTTTCGTATTAATTTTTTTTCATGCTAACAACTTTTCAATTAAATTTCCCCAACAATATTTACTCGAGTTCAATAAAAACATAAAACACTTGTTTGTACACCATTATGATGCGTTTGACATTTGATTTCAATAATTGTGTTACCTGATTATTTGTTTTCATTCAGATTTCCTATAAAATCCACTTGTACAATATTCATTTTGTTCATATTATTATTATTATTCTTTATTGAGATTTAGGTAGCTTCAAATTTTTTTTTCCAGTTTTGTTAAACTATACGTCTATCTGGTAACAAAAACTTTGTACAGAACTTCTTATCTGCAAGACGTTCATTATTAATTTATTTGATTGTTTTCTATCATTATTAAGTGCCTCCTAATTTATTGTCTTACTGTTCCAGTACTCTTAATCGTTTTCCTAAAAACTCACCGTCATCACAGTTCAGTGTGCTAAAGACTGCCTTAGTTGTTTCTTATGTTCAACTGGATGAGTTTGTTTCTTCACTCTGTAGCAGTAACGTTGCATTTGTTGCGTATTACTTTTGACACTACAGTCTACTCAGTGATTAAAGTAACTGTAAATTGCATAAGCCAGATTCGCAAATACTTAAATATTGTGAGATATATGCTACAGAGTTTTAGTTCTTTTGGTGACCAAAAGAACATTCTTTATGCTGATTATTATGACAACTTGAGCCAATGTAGTGAATTCAATAACTTATCTCCAATGTATCAGCCTAATCGCTAAATATATGTTAATATAATAAATCTAGTAATCCATACTATGTCTGAACAGTTAAGATGAATCGACTCTGGTTTTACCATGCTGAAAGTGCTTAATTGCCTACGGTTAACAAGCATTATTAGTTGATCAACAAATTTAAAACAAGAAAAATTTTGACATACACTTTGAAATAAGGTAGTCCATAAGTTTCTGTGGTGCGCTAATGATGTGATTTTATATGGGTGAAAATTACAAATAAACCGATGCCATTCACCAAGGAAAGCAGTCGGCTCGCGTCAATTACAGTACAAAACGAAATGATTTACTCTTAACATTCAGTAGTGGATACATCCGTTACCATCTTCACTCATACTTTCAATTCGTGATTCATGTGCTTGGCCCCGACCAGATCATACGTGAAGGACAAGATGAATTGTGACATTGTTTGGAATGAACCTACTCCAAGTAAAATACTGGATTTTACTTACAACCTAGTGATACGCAGTCTGTAGTAGTCACAAAAGACATAACGTTTTCGTAGAAATAACATTTCACGCATTGTTTTAACTTGTTCAACATGGAAATTGGATAGTGTATTTACAATTCATTCAATACAAAAAAGCTAAATTACATTGTGAAGGAATATTAGATGACGTTGAAAGCAAATGTTCAGATCTTATTATCTGTGCGTGAATTGCGAAATGCACATGTTGATTCCAAAATTACACTCGATATGGACATAGTATACCAAAGATGATGGTGAGTAGTATCACTTGTACTATGAAGTATTACAGTTCTGGGGCACATCTTTACTCTGAATACCAGCACCAGGACGGTCCACTCTGTGAACAGGTTTCGACAATTCCACGGGAGTTTCTTTAAGAGGATTTGCACAATATATAGCCTTGTTACCATTTAATTTCTGAGGGTCTCTGTTCTCAACATCAAGCTTGTCACTTTCTACGTAAAAGAGTAATGAAAGGATAATGAGTGAATAAAATAGAATTAATTGAAAAGATTATATTGTATTTACACCACATTAGATATCTTGTCCAACAAATACCCGAACTATGCTATTAAATGTTTTGGTGAATTTAAGGAAGTTTCTGTACAAATGTTTCTAACAAAGGGATACAATAAGGCAACTAGGGAAATCGGCTGACTATGTTCATGGGTATGTTGAACAATGGAAATAGGTTGGACAAGCGTATAAACTTTTAGTAAATTTATTTGAATGCATTGTGTATTCACATATTTTCCTATGTATCTTTCCATAATTTTCTAACAAAACATTTCGTTATTGACAGTAGGAATACGATGAACAAAAGACGATACTCAACGACATGATTATTAGCCTGGGAAATATTTGGGGATCGTAGGTTACCTAAACGAACTTTATACAAAGCCTTAAATTCCATAGTTCAAGACAACATCATTGGGTATTATTGATCTTAACTGAAAGTTTGAAAAGTTCAGAATGATGATATGCCGATTTTATTTAGAAACAATTATTAATCACACAAAAATAATATCATTAACAGCTCTATATAGAGTAGGACATAAATCTGTTCGATTCTTGAGTCTCAATTTCGTGTAGCTGGTTAACAATTGTTCACTACTTTTATTAAACATTAATGTTGCATTCGATTCGTCTGTGTAACTCTGGAATTATCTATTACATGAAAATTTCTTTAAGAGGTTTATCATTAATCTATATAAAAGTCCACTAATTAGGTAAACTTTACCTAATGTTTTTTGTGATATAAATAAATGTCATTCTTAAAGAGTTCAATAGTGAATTTATCAGGAAAATTGTAACAGGTTTCAGAACAATAATTTATAACACTTAAACTGTATTCTACTAACGAGAAATTATGAAATGTAACAGAATGAATAAAGAGAGGACTATTTTTTATGTATGACATTACCAGTAGAACTAGTTAGTTATTCAATATACTGATTTGTCAATTATATAATTATAATATCCTAAATTTAGTCTCTCTCCCTCTTTCTTCTGGTGGTCGACTGGATTATGAATACCTCAACATCTGAGGGGAAACACGGCATACAATGGACAGCTCAGAACCATTTAGACGATTTGAACTTCGCAAATGACCTAGCCCTCCTATTGCATACACACGAACAAATGCAGATAAAGACAGCCAGTGTAGCAGCAGTCTCTGCATCAGTAGACCTCAACATACAGAAGGGGAAAACCAAGGTCCTCAAATTCAAAACGGAGAACAGCAATCCAATCACACTTGATAGCGAATCTCTGGAAGATTGAAAATCCTTCACATACCTGGGAAGCATCATCGATGAACAAGGAGGTTCAGATGCAGACGTAAAGGCGAGGATTGGTAAAGCAAGGGCCGCATTCCTACAATTGAAGAACATATGGAACTCAAAACAACTGTCTGTCAACCAATATCAAAGTGAGAATCTTCAATACGAACGTCAAGGCAGTTCTACTGTATGGAGCTTTTATTTTATTTTATTTGGACACATGAATATTGGTACAGGGGAGCGCCAATATATATGCGCCACACAAAACAATGAAAATTCGAGAGGAATACAAAGAAAAAGAAAAAAAAAGCTAAGGAGCGCAACAAAAAAAAAGAGAACATTAACGAAGAGATTGGTGTAAGGTAATGTGCTAGTATGGAGCTGAAACTTGGCGAACTACTACAACCATCATCAAGAAGGTACAAGTATTTATAAATAGTTGTCTGCGCAAGATACTCAACATCCATTGGCGGGATACCATCAGCAACAGCCTTCTGTGGGAGAGAAAAAAACAGCTTCCAGTTGAAGAGGAAATTCGGATGGAAATGGATAGGACATACATTACACAAATCATCAAACTGCATCACGAGGCAAGCCCTAACTTGGAATCGTGAAAGGAAATGGAAAAGAGGAAGGCTAAAGAACACATTACGTCACGAAAAAGAAGCAGATATGAAAAGGATTGCCGAGGATAGGGTTGGATGGAGAATTCTGGTGAGCGGCCTATGCTGCTTCACGAGGAGTAACAGGCGAAAGTAAATTTAGTCTCTAAACACAAATGAGTATATGTATATTTATAACGGTCATACTTTTAAATGTTTTATCATATTAATTCTTTTTGACTATAGAACAAAACAATATAGAATAGAAAAGAATCAGTAAAAAACAGATCTATAATTTAAATAATGAACATTTTTTTAATTGACACAAATGAATGTATCTTGGAAGTGAAAAATTAATAAATTGAATAATGATTAAGAAGAAAAGATGCGAAATGATTTTATTCAGGAAACATTTCAGTTATTACCTTATATATATATATATATATATATATATATATATATATATATATATATATATATATAATTCTATTATAATAAATATCTGTATTTAAGTGAATTGATCTGATTGTAACTGCTACACTAACATGGTTGTCAGGTTTACATATTGTAATGATTCAATCAAGTTATATTGGATGTAACAATTGTTGTTGTTTTTTTTTAAGTTCTATCGTGCTAAACAGATCATTCGAGAAACGATAGTCAGTCAGTCAGTAACAACGTAGAACTTCGTACGTACGAACATCAGTTCGAGTTGCCACACCACATTAGCACAGAGATGCAGTTGTCGACTCAAATCCCGTAGTGGTAGAGGTAGTAAAAGTATAAACAGTAATCGGAAAGACTAGGGTTTGATGTTATTCAAGAAGTATAATCCAGTTAAATAAACTTGGAAGGAGAAAAAAGGAGAATTCAGAAGATTAGAATTTGGGAGAACACAGAGTGGATGCACCTGTGCCATTGCAAACGATTTTGAGCCATGTCATTTAGGGTCTCTAACCATAGGTTGCTATCATCTCGCGGTCCCCAACCAGGTAGTCGACACCTAACAACATGGCTCAGTCCACTTCATGGACTTGTGCCATGTTTTGGTCCGACCTCCCCTAGCTTTCTCCCAACCTACTCCATACCATTGAACATCGCACGTCAAGGCAGTCGGTCATTGGGCATACGTAACACGTGTCCCAGCCACCTCAACTGATGAAGTTTCACTACTTCATCAATGGATTTGCCATTCTTACCGAGTACCCGTTTCCTAACAACTGCGTTACTTGCTCGATGATCCCAGGATATACGAGCAATGTTTCGAAGACACCTATGATCAAATACTAGTAACCTGCGAATATCCTCTACTCTTACCGGCCATATGTCACTGCCATAAAGTAGGACGGAACAAACTGCTGCGCAGTAAACACGTCCTTTGGTTGATAGACGGATATCTCGCCTACGCCATAAATGACGCAAGTTGGCAAAAGCTAGTCGAGCCTCCTCTATCGGTGCTGAGATTTCGTCACACACTAAACCACATGGGCTGATGAGACTTCCAAGGTAAGTGAAGCGATCGACACGCTTAACTACTTCACTCCCTATCATTAGTTCGGGTGTCGATGCAACCCAATCCTGAAACAACATTTTGCATTTCGAGGGGGAAGAATCGCATCCCCAACGATAAGAATAAAAGCATCAACTTAAAGTATGAGAAGAAAGTCGTACAGGATTGTGAAAGGAGTAAAATGTTTCTATCAGATAACCAGCATCAACAATGCTCCCTAATCACAACAGATGTTATAAAATTTTGACTCTAAAAATGATACATTTTACTTCAACTTTATGGATTTTCATCTCCGGTGGTAATTTCGTTTGAAGTATGAAGCTAACATCTCAAAAACTTGTCATAAAAAGGTTGGGTGTGATCCCCCCGGCTAAATATTTGCCCCTTAGATTACATTTATTCTCCCAGGATTCTAAGACTACCACTAACACAGTTTCTTTTTCAGGTCCCCTAAAAGGAAAGATAATTTATTGGTGTAGTCAACTGGGGAGTAGTGACAACTGTGTTAAGACCTCTAACAATACACGAGAACATCTCGTTTAAATCTACTGACAGTACAAACAACCTAACAAGAACTCATTATAAGGGTGTTTAGACAAAGAATAAACGACTGTCTATTCTTTTCCTATTCTTATTTAGTCATAATATACTAAAATTGGAAGTCTAATGTACCGTAGCAAACATTTATCATAAGACTGCGGAGGAAAAACAGAAACATTAGCTACTGTAATAACACTCAAGTTTGTGTTCTATAGAGAACAGAGTTAGTTAGTAGTGGAAAAAGTCCAGAGATTAGATTGTTGAAGGGTTACTGAAACTCATTAACGAAGTACTCATTTAGACGTCATGTTATTGTTGACACATAATAAGACAACTATTCTAAGCTTTAACCTCTCTTTGAACAAGGAACATGAACAATGTTGTATCTATTCATAGTGACAGATATATTGGCAAATCCAATAGTCAAAATGTCAAGCAGTAAGATTCATTGAAAAAACCAAAGATTATTTAACTAAATCAGACACTACAGTATAAATTATTCGTTAAAAAAACAGAAAAAAAAGAGCGACGAACCAATAAAGGAAAAGTATTCTTGATAGCAGTAAAAAATGAGTACTGTGTAAAACTGTAATGAATGAAGAAGATACAAAATCAAGATAAAATAAAGTTTGTTAGAATTAAACTATCATCAAAAATATTTCTTATACAACAATAACTGGAACTAATAATAAGTTAAAACCGAAAAAGTAGAGACAGAAGATGAAACGTCCACCAAAAAAAAGTAAGAATTCCAATCAACTGAATTACCGAGCTGTGGTTTCACAAGGAAAGAAAACAAATGCATTCTATCTGTTTTATAAATTAAAACAGAATCCTACGTAAATTTCAAGAGGCCAAAATCAGTTTAATTATTTCGCAACAATGCAAACCTATTTTATGCAAATACTTGACAAAAAGTTCATCGTTAATGGTGAAAGAGTACACACAAAAAAGACTAAACCACATTAAGCGATACTACTACCTACCGTTTATTGAATAAGTTGACTGAAGAACATATGAAACTCAAATCAAATGTTAGTCAGTACCAAAGTTAGGATCTTCGATAAAAACGTCATGTTCCACTGTACGGAGCTGAAACTTGGAAATCTACTTCAAACATCAAAAAAGTACAGGTATTTACAAACAATTGTCAACGCAAGATCCACTGACCAGATACCACCAGCAACAGCCTGCTGTGTGAGAGAACAAACCAGCTTCCAGCTGGAGAGGAAGTTAGGAAGAAACGCGCGAGGTGGATAGGACATACACTGCAGAAATCACTAAACTGTATCAAGAGGCAAACCCTAGTTTGGAATTGTGAATGGAAAAGAAACAGAGGAAGACCAAATAACACACTATGCCGGGTATTGGAGGCAGACATCAAAAGAGTGAATAGGAATCGGAAACAACCGGAAAGGACAAGCGAGGACAATGTTTGATAGAGAAGCTCGGTCATCGTCTATGCTCCTCTACGAGTAACAGGTGTAAGTAAGAAGTAAGACCTATAGTCTATGAGTACTATAGTTGTTATTATTTCTCTGTCAGTAAACATTCTTGACTGAACAGTTATATGTGACAGAACCAAAATATTACAATACATGTTTTCTACCTTAAGTACACACTAAAATAGTGGATTTGTCGATAATGTTTGAAAAATAATAATAGTAGTAGAGGCTGCCTGCTGACTTTTCTTGAGATTCGAGGAAAGAAATAGAGACAGATTTATAGGCACCGGATCAATATGAGCTCAGTTAGCATCGGCTAAAGGTTAAATGTGTAGGTCAGAAGTGTAATCCGTCAAGTCTGGGACACTGGGACTATAGAAGAAATAATGGGCACAGAATAGATAAAATTAAGATCAGAATTCTGGTTAGTGGCTTCAGCGCGCAATATTGATTTGTTTCAAGACATAACAATACCTCTAAGCAATTACATTGAATGAATTTAAACAACAAAAATATAGATAGTAAGTATATACAACAAACCCGTAAGTGATGGACTAGACTGCTTGATTTTCAGTTCCACATTATTTGCTTTTAAGTTATCAGAAACTTTTCCACTACGTAGATCACTAAGTTGTTTACGAAGTTCACTAATCTGTTCAGACAGAGAAGTATTTTCATCAATACTATGCCATAATTCATTTTGTAATTTACGTCTAATCTGACCAGAATCAAGTAAACGTTGACGGAGTCCACTAATTATTTCAGTTGATTGTTCTTGAGCACGTTTATATTGTTTAATTCGACGCCTAAAAAAGTTAAAGCACAGAAAAATAAAATATAATATTATCGAATGTATATAAGAAATGAATTACTGAAAATTAAATGTGAATATATAGATTAACTGGGAAATTTTAAAAAATATATATTTATTAATGGTAGTAGTCAGTGGTAAAAATTCCTGGGAGTGTGTACAACGTTTAAAAAATTGATGTTTATTTATAAGTCAAACTCATTATTTACTATGTAATATTATTTTATTCACTCTTTTTAACATATTTGAATATTCCATGCCAAGCAAGACGTTTATTGTTGATTGAAGGCTCAGGGTGTGGCCCCCTAAGAAAACCACCTGCTTCGGTCTGGGCACCCGGGCAGTATCACAGCCCACACACACACACACAAATATGGTGTGGCGCATATATATTTGGTGCCCTATTGTACCAATATTTACGTGTTGAAATAAATAAATTTTGCTATATCGCAGAAAAGTTTAATTCGGGAATAAATTTGACGTGACTGTTGATACCTTCGAAATAAAAAAGCATGAAACGATGAATTAATTTGTGTTTTCTTGTGTCAGTACAAATGAACCGGAGATTAAAATATTATTCTTATTACTACTTAGATATTATTCCATGAACCTTAATCAAATTTTACAATAAAATAGATGCCACTGAAACAATTCAGAATTAGTGTGCAAATTGAACCCAGGTACAACTAGTTGACGATCCTTAACTAGGACAAAACGCATGTCTTGGATTCCACTGCTAAATGAACTTCGAATGTATCAAAAGTTGTGACTAAATGGTAATATTGAAGCACTCCGCTCACGATGTAAATAAACAAATCGAGACTGATCAAATGGTAATCACTGTTAAATGAACTCATTCTCGTTAAATAAATTAGAGACTATTTGTACTTAGTAGCTTAGTCAAAAAGGAGTTGGAACGGACGATAATGAGTCTAAGTTTGAGTATGAACATTAACATTGGGATGCAGATACATCTAACTATTAAGTCGCAAATAAAACGAAACGCAATTCCTAGCCCCCGCCCAATTTGATATATTTCTTAAAGTATATATTGCTAATAGCTTGTAGTGGCTGGTACTATGTCAAACCCACAGGTTATTCTAGCTTCTGGACAGACCGATTTATTCATTCTTTTCAAGCCACATTTTGACCTTGCTACTTATTCACTTACTAACTGCGATTGTTTTCATATGATCGTATTTATGTTAATTGCTTGCCCTATTCACCACGTGTTTGTAACTTATTTTTGTCTGCATATAAATATTGAGTCACGCCTGATCAGAACGAGTTGGCCCACTTGCATCCTTCACTGTGCGTCGCCTTGTTTCTCTGATTTCCTGTCTGAGCCAAAAAGTTTATGAAATATACGTATTCAAAATCTATTCTCGTATTTAGCCTATCGTATTCCGTTCTTTTCTAACGTGAATTAAACAGATAAATTATATACGAGGGTTGGCGACATGTATAATTCGACAAGCAATCAGCATACGATTTAACTGGAGTCGGATATAGGGCCACAAAAATCTACCAAAAATAACTAACCTAGCAATCAAGATGATGTCTATTTCCTACAAACATGAAGTTACACACTTTGTAACAACGTTTTTCTAATAATTTCATGACTCGTGATTCAGACCTTAATCCAATGAGAAAACATCCTCTTCAAGAAAAACGGTGATACCCTGGGTCCATTAGACATACGTCAAATGATGAGTGAGAGTTGCTAACCAACACACACGATCGATCAAGATACGGCTTCACCTTCTGAAGAAGTAGACATAAGCTATTAGCTGAAAATGTGGCCTGACTTCTTGAGGGATCTAGTTGTATGATTGTCAATGTATTGATTCGACTAATCAATAAAAGCTTCTTACACGTGGAGATAATCATCCTTCTTCAATCTTCAATGAGTGTGATATCTATCATTTGCGAGCATCTATCCTTTCACTTACTGTGAGTGCTGCATATAATAGTATGATTTTCAATGGGATTTCATTTTAATCATTGAAAGCTACCTTTATATATTTTCTGAGAACAAGACAAGGTAGCGCACACCAACCTCTTAGACATAAAGAGCGAAAAAAGTGAAAGTAAAAGCTTGAAATGAAACCCTCGGTGAAAATTATGTTCTTCTATACAACATTCACTAACCACATAAACGGAAAAGCACTATGTATTGAACCATGAGAAGCAGATACGTTACAAGATTACTGATACGTAACCTATCCTCTTCCTACTCACTCTTCGCTTGGAAACGCGTATAGAAAGCCTACAATAGTAGTCGCGGACTCGAATGACAGTAAAATATATATATATATATATATATATATATATATATATAATTAGAATTTAAACAAGTAAAACTTACTCTAAATTCGATATAACACCTTCTTGTGAGTTACCTTCTAAATTAAATGCCTTTGATATTTTTAAAGCTCCACGCTCCTGATCCAACTTTAAATTAAATCATAAAGAGAAAACATAGATAGAGAATCAACATGGTAATAATACTAAATATCTTTTTAAGAAATAAGTCTTTCAAAAGAGAAGTTTAAAATAGCTAGACATTATGACATATTGTTTATTCATTCAAGAACAATAAATAATTTGATTTACATAAAATCATGAAGTCATTAGCTATTTAACAGGAAATATAATGAGGTTAAATAAAAAATATTGACAAGATAAATATGGTAGTGTTAAGGAAGGCAAAAAAAGCAAATGTTTATAACTAAGTATTATGAAGAATTCCTAGTCAAACAATACTGTTTCATGCATATGAACAAAACAGGTTAAATTTTTTTTAAAAATGGCATCTGTACAGATGAAACGAAAGTTTTATGCAGATATTATTAAGTTTCCTCAGTAGAAATAAACAATAAAATAGAGTGTAGTTGAGTAGTATATAGTGATTCTATGCGATAACCTGTAAGTTACACTCATATGCGCTGATTATACAACTATTCATCTGTTAAAGCTGAAATTGATGATAATCTATCACCTAATAGTCACTTGTCGTAATACATTTCGTATGGAGGTAAAACGATTACTGCGGCTACGCATGTATGGGTAAATATAACTCGAGGAATAATAGTTAACCTATTTACTGGTGAAAATACAGAGAAAATTGAGGTCTAACTAGTAATCATTAATTCTTAGATAAACAAAAACTACAAACAGAAGCTTTTTGATTGAGATCATGAACCGATTAATGTTAGATCACCGTTGGAAATCTGGAAGCACTGGACGGCCGTTTCGTCCTATTGTGTGACTCCTCAGCAGTGCGCATCCACGATCCCACCCGCGGGATTCGAACCCAGGGCCTTCAGTCTCGCGCGCGAACGCTTAACCTACTGGACCACTGAGCCGGCATCCAATGGTGTTAGTGTCTAACACTAACCAATCCACGAAATTGCGCGACCATCTTGCATTGTACTGAGGTAGATACCTGTCACTACCCGACACGGATTAACTCCGCTGGTCGCGGCTTTTCATGAACTCAATCAAAAACTTAATAATCTCCACAACCCCTATACTGACAAACAGAAGCAATCCAATTTTTATGGAACAAATAAACTATGGCGATAAGTGGAATTCAGGAAGTGTTTCGTTTCATTTGGGACTCGTCAGATGGATGCACCTATATCCTAGTGTTGATTTAAACCCTACAAATTAAATTAAATTCATAACTATTGCACAGGCCATTGGATATTCGGACTTAGTAGCTCAGTGGGTAATGCGTTGGTTACCTAAAGCGAAAAGCACTAAGCTCAAGCCCCGGAGTGAATATCAACACAAGGATACATGTGTGCATTCAACTATCGAGCCCCGAATAGGACAAAAATCGCGTCCTCCATTTCACTGCTAGTCACAGACCATCTATTCGGCAAAAAATTGTGACAATATGGGTGTATTGGGACAATCCACATAGGATGCATTGGTAAGAATTCAGCTAAGAGTATGGACAACGGAATGATTTAAATCCTTATAATTTACATTAAAAGCACTTACTATTTTTTAGCAGGAAGTTATATACCATGTGGAAATTATTTGATAAACAAAAACAACCAAATCACATTTCAAACATACTTGTAGTTCCTCTAAATGTTGTACTTGATAACTCAATTTTGTGTTCTCATTAACTAAACGTTCACGTTCAGCGACTAACTCATCAATAAAATTCGTATCTCGATCACGATACCTAGTTTCTAATTTCTGAACTGATTCTGTCTGTATAAAACATAGTACAGAAGTATATATAGAATAGTTTAGGTGATTCAACAAATGTGAACACCGAGGGAAATACAATCAACAGTAAACATTAATCTTGTTAAGATAGCACAACTGACAGGCAAAGTTAGATCGTATTAGACAAGACTTATTTAAATATAATACAAAATTTATCCTTAACCGAGTCGGATCATCAACGCAACAACTTTTTTCATATATAAAGGCAGTAGACCACTTAACTATGGGTGACTATTGTTATACCCTAGTGAAGATTAGATTACCGGTGACTTCTGAGAACTATTAATGGACTAATACTATACATACATTCTTATTGTATAACTATTCAGTAACTAGATTATGTATATCCATATTACTCTTATTATAAGCTTTATTTCGACCTATAGACTATTATTATATGATTTACTATTCTTAAGTTATGCCCAGTCTACTTAATTAGACTCCCACAATCACTGACACTCTTTGGTCTGGTCTTGTACAAATGTTATTTCCTATTTTATGGTGTGATGTGGTCTGTTTGGCTTGTATATGAACCAGGTATTTTGAAATAAATTATTCTTATAGTGGAAGCTGATATTGGTATTCCGGACTGAACTGGCAATGCTAAGAGGGAAGAGAACCAATAAGGACTCTAGGCCTCTCAAACTGGTCGATACGTTATTGGTTTGGCATAGTGCTAAGATTGTATAGGTCGTATTCCGATTGGCGAATCTCACGTGATAATTAATTAAAAGTCACAACAACTATCGTCTAGCTAATATATAGAATGAAACTTAAATACTTCTCACAATATAAACGTGCGGTGAGACTATAATTTATGGACGACCTTTGAGCGACGCTAAAGTGACCTTGAGAATGTTCACCTACTATGACTAAGTGAGAGTTATAAACCAGTGTTAGGAATTAGAATCATGATTTACCGTTGATGGTTAGGGTTAGGAATTAGATTCAGGTTTTTCATCACGAACTGATATTAGCTAAAATAGTAAAACGCTATTTAGACGAATGAATTTCACGCCAAAATCCAAGACCTGATATCCTAAATCTGATTGGTTCGTCCATAAATCATAGTCTCGCCTAAACATGTATTTAGATTTCGAGTTATTTCCCCTTGAACATCTTATGTATTAGGTAAAAGGAATATATACCCAAGAAGACACAAAAAACAGGAAAGATTGGTCCAGTGAATATTTCTCTTTTAAATAAATTTATTTCACAAGTTATACAATCGTGAATACATGTATATTTCGAAATAACAATTAATAATATGTTTAAGGTGACGGTTGGAGGTAGTTGACAAAAGATCATGAGTGATCTAAGAATCGTGATGTTTGGTATGGTGCACCAGTAATCTTGAGGAAACTGATGTGTCCTGGCGGATTCGATCCCATATTACCCAGCTTCACAGTCACAGATGATACTACAGAGCTATTTGGGTCACAACTGACCTCTTGTAGGACTGAGATGCATACACAACTGATTAGTCACTGAGTAGTTGCCAACTATGTCATGTATGTCAAGTCCTTCTTAGTGTTGATTGAATTATACTGATCCAACAATCACTCAACATAGTGCAAGCGATATCGAGCCATTTGGATTACTGGCTACATTGCAACTTTATTGATAAAACACTAAGAAAGACTTGACATATATGATATTAGTCATTACTTGGTAATCGACCAGCTGTCAATTATATGTTTGATAATGATTTGCTAAGTATTAGTAAGAGTAAGGTAGAATAAAATGAAAGTACAAAAGTGTTATTTATTATTAAGAAACTGAAGATGTAGTTGTTAAGATCTTGAATATTCACCAAGATGGTAGATGAAGACTAAAAATTGTGTAGAAGGGTTGCATAACATGATAAGATGTCGAAAATGAGTATGGAATTAAACTCTTGTACAACCGTAAACAAAATACAACATAAGGACCGAGAAATTCGTCACACAGAATAACAAAATAATGCATTTCCTTGAGATGTTAAAGAAGGAAAGTAAAAACGAAAATGGAGGCCTATTCATTACTGTCTTTAATTCTGATTCATGGTTGACAAAGTTTGAATTCACTTAGCAGCACCAACTCCAAGGTTATATTAAAGAAAAGAAAATATAAAAACAAATGCCGACTAACCCGTAGTTCATGCTCGGAGATAGTTAACTGTACCCTTTTCTCATCAGATTTCAGGACACTTCAAAAGAAATTGCTATGACTAAATACATAGAGAAGCTAAAGAGGTTTAGCATTGAAAAGGCTAATGGTATAACTTTACAAGTAGAAATATCGTACGATCAATCATTTACAACTAGATTTAACTAGTGTTTTTATTCCTCTCCCATCTTTTGCTTAACTGTTGATACACAGTGGTAGGAAATAATTCATATTGGTTGAGATCCCAATCGTCAATTGCTGTAACCTGTGAATAATTCAGTTGAACTAAGATACACAGTTCTTTCGTCAAATTCGTAATATTTATGGAAACAGACCCTACTTAATGCAACGATCGTTTGAACATTTTTTTATTCTCTGAAGAAGTGACTTACACTAAGTCACGAAACGTCAGAAAATCTAATTTTCTACTCATTGGGATACTACAAATATATTATTTTTATTTATTATGAAGGTACGTTGAAATTGGATTTGCAAGATTGTATCAGGATAATTCTTTTGCCGATTGTGCTCTACCAAAAATGGTAATAGTTAACACTTTATACTGTTAGAACAATCGATGGATCAAACATCTGATGAAATCTTAACGCAGATCTTAAAGGAAAATTTTACTTAGCATCCATTGATAATATCTGAAGCTCGTGAGATGTGATGCTTAAAAGACAAACAATTCAAGCTCTATAGGCAACATTATAATTATTTCCAAACAATGCTTCCAATTGCATCCAGCTCTTCCGTGAAATACACTCTTTTCATAAATAAATAAAAAATTAGACAAAGTTGTAAAAATATTTTTAAAGTATCTTTTTAAGTATGATATGATGAATATCAAGTATAAAAAGTGTACCCTCTTAGCAAAATTAGTGTAGTCCATAACTAGAATAATCTAGAAAGTGATATTTTAGTGAAAAACGAGCTATTTTAATTTAACGTACTTTTTTAACTTACTAATTTACGCTTAGAATCATTTTCTGTTTGACGTAAACGTAATTTTAATTCATTAATTTGTTCTCCTTGTTTAATAACAATTTGTTCAGCACGAATACGTCGATCTTCAATCTAAAATTTACCGAAGTATACAACATAATCTTTTGTTTAATCATTTACGAGTAGTGCAAGTACTTGACCTATTTACAAATGAAATATATTACTTTTTGTAATCAAATATTGAAACTTAAGGAATATGCACACGAAACTGCCAACATCATGCTGCGTTATCAATAAATTTCAAGTACTAAGAGACTTCGTTTTGCTTTATTTTCCAAAAAAAAGAACTTAACTGGTTTTATTTACGATCATGTATGTCGAAAATAACATTCAACTGTTTAGACCTAAAACCATAACTACTGTGTCATATAGGATGAAAGCACTAAAGTTATCCTTAAAAATTGAAAATGTGAAAAACTATTCAAGATTGGTATAAGAACAAGCAAACTTTCTCCATGAGCAAGACTTGACTACTTAGATCTTCCACAATAGTAATAATAATAGGAATAATGGCTTTATTCGATAAACAAGAAATCACTCCTAAACAGTGTTGAGATTAGTCAAACACCTAAGAAAAAAAGTAACGCTTCACTGACTGATTTGTTACGTTTGAATAGATGACGATATCACATAAACTGGCGAACGGAACGAAAGTCAGCAACACAATAACAGGACAAGCCAAACTATTGCACTTCGCACCAGCCCTGCTAACTAGGGGGAGAAGACCAGATTCAGTCGAAGAAAAAGTTTATTCCACAAACAGCCAGAAGGACGAACGAACAAAGTACACAACTCATGTGTATATATACAGTACAAAAATGTCCTTGTAAACGTCACAAAACGGAGTACTAAAAGATGAAACGAACTAATGACATTCAAGGTTCTCCCAAGTGGGAAAAATAAACTCAAAGTAAAAGTGGGCGCCTTTGGTGTGAAAATAGATTTAAATTTTCAAAATAAAATTACCAAGCCATATTTGGGAATCTAGCATTCCCAAAATGGTTACTGCTCATTTACCGATAGTTAAGTTACCCAACTCTTCACAAATGCTGTTAAAATCTCACCGATCAAGTTTGACAAATTACAAGACTCAACATTGTGCTGATCATTGGTATTTGGTGTTTTATGGGGTTGGAGGAAAACAGATATAAATTATTAAAATGTTCTATTTCAAGCATTTCCACTCAACAACAACAACAATAACAAAGGTAATAATATGACATATCTACTACAATTTACAGGAAACGCATGCACCTGAAACACATCCGAATCACTAAGACAACAGATATGTTTACTTCCAATGTTTGGAACTAATAATAGTAAACTGACCAATAGTTCACAAACTAATGATTTATAAACTACAATAAGAAGTGATTATCATCATTTATCATCATTATATATTGAGGCAAATTTTTACATGTTTCAAGCAAACATGTAATGTCGTCAGAATTTGAATGTTAAACTTATCACTTATGAAATACAAATATATGAATAACTTAATGCATAATTTATGAACAAAGATTGTTTTCATTGGCGATAGTATATTAAACATATCAAACATCAATCTATCAGACTGTAGGTAGTGTTTTTGCATTGCAAAATAAAGTTAGCAATAAGTATGAAGTGGTCAATTTAGATATTTTTCATGAAATTTTAATAATGTATGTTATTTTCGCTGAGTAGTGAACCAGTGTTATTGTTATAACTTGTGACCGCCGATTAGAAAGCAGTGACTTATCGATCGGATCGATGACGCGTAAAACCCGTGAGAGCAGCCTATAGTCCTTATTGGTCTTGCTTCCTGTCTAGCCCAGCCAGTTAAGTTCAGAACACCAATTCGAGCCTCTGCGATATGAATCATGTATTTCAAACATACTCGGTTTATATACTAATCAAACAGACCACATCGTACCAATAAAATATGAAACAACATTTGTACAAGTATTAGCCTAATGTGGCTGTGAATGTGAGAGGTAGTAATTAATAGACAGGGCATAATTCAAGAATGGTAAATGGTATAATAATAGTTCATAGGTCAAAACAAAGCCCATAATAAGTAGGACACGGATATCAATAGTTTAGTTACATAACAATTATGCGATAAAAATATACGTATAGTATTGGTCCATAATGGATCCCAAAAGTTACCATTCATTATGCTTATCGGGACCTAACAGTTATATATACGAAGTTCCTTTTACTACTGATCAAATTGTACCAATCAAGTTGCAATACAGTCACTAGCTAGTCTAAGTGACTTGACGTCGTATGCATCATGTTAAGATTGTAAAGCGATGGCTAGAGATTGTCGCCCAAATCGGAACAAATTCACTAATTCTAGATTAGCCGACAGAAACCATAATCGATAAGTGTCTTTTTAAAAGCTACTTTTCGGAATATAAGGTCTTTATAAAATTGTGCAGAAATAGTTACTTGTATATGTTTATTAGATAACACTTTGACTAAACTATTCAGTGCATGATGTAATAACATAGTCAAAAATTAAGAAACCAAATGCTCAAGAAGCAGTTATGTGTACCCCTATACATATGTATATGATGGAAATTCCCCTAAATGACCTGGTACATCTGAGGGTAGGGAGAGTCGCCTATCCCTCTTGAAATGCTTTCTTTCGTACGGCCACGCGTATAGGGCCACTGCCAGGAAAGTCCTACTCACTGCCTTCTCGCGGCATTACTGTTGTCTACAAAATTGAGAGGACGGAAGGAGAATGTCTGGGTTGGTGGGTACAGAGGATCCACCTAGGGGAGTTGGAAAACCTCTAATTCCCTTAAGAAAACCACCTGCTTTGGTTTGGGCGTCCAGGCAGTACTCCAACCCTAACACAAATCGAGTGACGAATTGTTGAGCATATATACTTGGTGTCTCCTTGTGCCAATGTTTATGTGTATAAATAAATAAATGATGGAAACAATAGTTGATATGACTAAAAATAGTATTTTACACAAACTAACTTCAGAAAATACTGAATTCCCTCGTGTGCTTTCTGTAGAATTTGATTGAATTTGTAATGCTTCTAGTTGAGCTTGAGTATCATTTAATTCTAATCGACAATCCTAATTAAGAAATAAGCATAAAATAGTATGAATTAATATTCATTGAGGCTAAAATTAGTAGAATGTAACCATTGAAATTCGATTTGAAGATGAGAACCTTAACAACTCTAAAACAACTAAGTAGAATTTGGTATAGCATAGAGTTAATTTATCACGTTTTATGGATACTTAAAACCATAATTTCCAAAATATATATCAAATGACAGAAACAAAATCTCAGAGTCGTATGGCAAAACAAGACTCATTGCTTCTGTGATATCTTGACAAAGATTAGAAGTTTGTTCTTATAAAAATAAAACTTGTAGGTTAACTCACTTCTACAAATGCTATTTTCAGAAATTAATAAGTTCGAAATAGTTAGCACATTGTAGTGCATAGTTTCCATGTTTGGCATGAACGCTTTGTATGTCATAAGCAACATAAAACCTGGTACATATACGAGCCGGTGCTCATGTTGCCTCATCGCATCAGTGCAGCGAGATAAAACTGTCAAGATATATCCCAGAGTAGCAGAAGTGGTAGCAGTAGTAGTAGTAGTAGTAGTAGTAGTAGTAGTAGAGAATATCAGGTATAAGCAATGAGGTTCGAGAAGAACGAGTTTGTGAAATAAAAAAAATGTAGCACAATGTTGCATCTAAGCTAGCGCAGTCGATTCTGGGACACATTACCCATCGTCCCCAACCATTAGCTACAACAGTCGCGCGGACACCAATCCGATAGTTTGTATATGCCAGGACGGTTTAATTCGATAATCAGCAACTTCATGGACTGACCCCATAACGTGGTTCTGTCATCTCTAAGATCCTTACAACCCACTCCTAAATAAGTAAATATCATAAGTTAAGGTAAGAGGCGGTTGGTCATATGAATGACACATCTTAACGTAACGCTTTGTGTAGTACAACTAAATCGCAAAATAAATATCATATAATTAATTTGTACATATTCATACTCACTTTTAACTGACGATCTAATTCAATTATATAATCCTGTAAATTTTGACGATCGTCCTCTGATTCTTGGATTTGACGAGTTAATTTTGATTGTTCAAGACGATTAGAAGTTTCTTTGCTGGATAGTTCCTCTTTCAACCGATTGATTTCCTCCACCAAAGAATTATATGGTTCAGGAACAGTTATAGAACACTGAAAAAGAAAACGTCATATTCCTTAAAATCTCATTTTATATTGACTACAAGGTAAAAATAGGGTACTTTAAAAGTGTAATGAGAATAAACAATTTACAATAACGATATTATTAAACATGGCATGTAAATACATTATGAATTGCAAAAGAATAACTGTAAACATTAAACATATCACAGTATAATACAAAAAATTCCACAATTACTAACAAATTTCAGATATCAGAACGCTAATCAAACCACTTAAAACCTTCATGCTTCATCAATTCTGTATGTAAATGTGAATAAACCAGACAAATTACTACTGGTTAACGGGAAACTCAATATATTCTTTTCATTTATGGGAAAATATCTAATCATAAGTACCTAAGAATGATGAAGTAATCTAAATATCAAACTGACAGGAGAAAAAACCTACTGACTTGATTCTAAGCAGCTATTCGTATACAATATACGGGATTATTATGGCATTAGACAAATATAAACAAAATGAGGGCCGCGACAAAAATGATACATTAGTTTAAGTTGCCACACTTTATATTAACAGACTGAAAGTAAAGCAGCAAAACGAGAAACGCATGACGAATAAACAGAATCAATACTATCAGGAATTTAATCAAACAATAGTTACATAAGTATTCGAGTACACAGATATAAGCTGTCAAATACAAATTTAATTAGCCAGCAGTCAGTTATAATCAACATGGAGTTTAGGATAAATTTGCGTTGTGCCACGCTGCCGGACCACAAGAATACGACGAGATGAGAAATGACAATGAATAGTAAACGAATTGAAATAATGTAATAACAATCATTACGTGGAATAATGAACATTGAGAATGTAATTCAAGAATATAGAATTAAAAGGTGTATGATGGAAAAATGAAACTCATAATCTAGAATAAGATAACGAATGAATTCATTTGTAGGTTTGTGATCAATTGTTAGACATATTACCCAAAGACTATTGATCGTGGTTATTGAGTAGACGACCATAACTAGGTAGTCTGGACCAACCAACACAACTCAGTTCAATTGCTAATAGCTTCATGGACTAATCCCATGTCTTGAATTGGCTACCCACATTTTCCTTTCAACTTATACTTACGTTAGCCAGGTAGGCGATGGTCAGAAATATGTAATACATGACCTAACCGCCTCAGTCAATAAAAAATTCACTGTTTCATCATCCGATTTTCCATCTTTACTCAGTATCCTGCGTCTAACCTTAAGACTGTTCAATTAGCCGCCCCACGACAGGCGGGAATCTTAAGAAACTTAACTATAAGAATAAGAATAGTGGTTAACAACAGTAGTTCATCACGTGAGAAAGAACAAGATCAACGTAAACTTACTTCAGAAATACTATCCACTTTATTTACAAAACTATTTAACTGTTCCAGTAGATCAGCTTCACGTTTTTTGGCTAAATCAAGCTCTTTGGTAAGTAGCGCAACTTTCTCTTCAGATTTTTCAACACGACCTTCTAAGTTATACAACAATAACGAATTGTCATCAACACGTGGAGTTGAAATCGACGTCTTTTCTTGTTGTAATCGAGTAATTACTGATCTAAGTTGTTCGATTTCATCGAGATAAGCTGCTTCCATTTCCTTTTTCAATTCTAATTTCTTTAATAGACTGTGATTTTCCTGTAAAAGATTCTGTAGAATGTATAAAAACAATTTAACTTTGCGTATTGTGAAAAACGAAAACACTCAACACAACGGAGATGAAGTGATATCGATTCAAAAACAGGGGTATTTAAAAACTAATAACTGAAAACTTTTAATTTAAGACTGTATAAAATCTACGGCATATTGAAAACCGTGATACACAGACAAACACAAGCAAAAGATTGAAGTTAGACTTATTGTTATGATGCGTGGTGTCCGAATCTGATACAGACACATAGACTTTCCATATCCAAGCCCCGACCGGAGACTAAATAAGAATATGAGTGGGGAGGGAAGTTTATTGGGCTAAACCGAATCCTATGCATAAGCACTCATTTATGTATCTATTCCTTAGAAAACGAAGTCATTTGTCGTCCAATAACATGCATTTGTCGATTGTGAAATTCTTGATTGGCTCAAAGTATTCTTCTCATTCGGAGATTTTTGATTGACCCACTGTATTATTTATATACTATCGGACCCAGGGTCAGTGGTTTAGAGGTTAAGGACTCGCACACAAAGCCAATGATCTTGGTTTAGGTCCCCTGTGATGACGTCGTGGATGATCACTGATGACGAGTTCCATACTAGAAAGGAACAGTTGTACAGTGGACTAAGGTTTTTAGGGATTGTACAACTTATGTTGATGCGTAATGTCAACGAAAGCCAGCGAGACTATAATTTATGAACGCACCAATCAGATCTAGGACATTAGGTCCTGGGTTTTGGCATGAAATCCATTCATCCATTCGGCTAAATGGCGTTTTGCTATTTTAACTAATATCAGTTCGTGATGAAAACCCTAGAGCAGTGCACGTTCACGATCCAGCATGTGTGTGTAGTGTCAGTTATTATGTTAAGCCCATATACTTTATTCTAGCCTTCAGACAGCCCAATCTATTCATTCTACCTTAGTCATATTTTGACCTTGTCAATTATTCGCTTATCAATCCTGACTGTTTTTATATGAGCGTATATGAGTGTACTTTTCATATCCCATGACTCTCACATGTCTGTAGTTTATTTTTGTCTGCCTATAAATATTGGGTAACGCCTGGCTAAAAATGAGTTGGCTTACCAGCTATCTCCACTGCGCATCATTTTGCTTTGTTCTATTGCCTTCACTTTATGTACAAAATATGTGTATTCAAAGGCCATTCTCGTTAATTGACTTATCTAAATTCCGTTATTGACTAACGTGAATTAAGTCGATGATTGTATACGAGGATAGGTGATAACAAACATACGATCTACACGGAGTCAGATCCACGGGCCACTAAATTGGTAAGCCCGCCGACGACGAACGCAACGCAGCAAGCTACGTCGATGAAGGAACTTTTGCACTCAGTACTTTCGACGAACAAATTCAGCGAAGCCAGTGCAATCTTCAGTCCGACGCAATCAGCAAAACTTGTGCATCATGGTATGGACATGCTCAAGTCGTATTATCTAATCGATACTTTGTCCTCATGTCAACTATTCTCATTGACCCATTTATCGGATTGTTCCATTACGATTCAAATTATCATTATATGCTTACTATTACATTATTGTCAATATCATGACCGAATGTGGAATTATTAATTTTGTTCGTGCTGTCATTAAATTATGACATTTTCGCAATCATATCACTCACCGAACAAATTATCATTTTATGAACACCCCACGTTATGTCATTCGAAACTCATTGGACTATATTTTCGTTATTCAAAAACGTAAAATTTTCCTGCTTTAAGTGAGTTCGTTCCAATTTTTCATGTCATTTTGACCTAATATTACATTCATTCACTTAGTCGAGGTCATTATGTTATGTTATCACAACATACATCTTTCATTTCGAAATCGCCTCCTATTATGTCTGTGGATACCTCTAACTAGCTGATTCGAAACTATTACGTCTTATCTATTCTTCCACATGCATAACCGCATGCCGCATCATTTATCACGTCGGGCTCACCAATTTAGTGGCCCGTGGATCTGACTCCGTGTAGATCGTATGTTTGTTATCACCTATCCTCGTATACAATCATCGACTTAATTCACGTTAGTCAATAACGGAATTTAGATAAGTCAATTAACGAGAATGGCCTTTGAATACACATATTTTGTACATAAAGTGAAGGCAATAGAACAAAGCAAAATGACGCGCAGTGGAGATAGCTGGTAAGCCAACTCATTTTTAGCCAGGCGTTACCCAATATTTATAGGCAGACAAAAATAAACTACAGACATGTGAGAGTCATGGGATATGAAAAGTACACTCATATACGCTCATATAAAAACAGTCAGGATTGATAAGCGAATAATTGACAAGGTCAAAATATGACTAAGGTAGAATGAATAGATTGGGCTGTCTGAAGGCTAGAATAAAGTATATGGGCTTAACATAATAACTGACACTACATATGACTCGAGCCCAGGACCATCTGTTTCGCATACTAGGACGAAATAGCCGTCCAGTGCTTCCAGCTTGTCATTGGTGGTCTAGCTTAGATAGACTCATGAATTCAACTATTAGAAATACTTTATTACACACAACTATAAGCAATCTCAGTGAGTTCGGAGTAGAAATCAATGAGCGGAAAAGGAATCACATAAATAATCATCAGTAATTTGCATGCCTCTTTGTGCATATTTAGTAACCAACAACATTTACTTTCACTATCACACATCGTTTGTATTATTAGCATATGTGAAAATAATATTTGAAATAATCTCAGAAATTGAAGTCTAAATAATTCCTACGTTTCGTCCAGCAAAATTGTCTGGACTTCTTCAGGGTAACTATTGAAATCAAAACTATCAGAGAAATATATTATGTTTAACAATCAAGTCAAAACTTTACTGTGCTTATCCAATCATATCCAGATGTTGACTTTAGTAAGAAGGATAATATGAATCAGTTACATGCGAATCATGTGAAAATTTCACAATATGAAGATAAACAAATGAATGATTGTGTGTAAGTTTGAGTTATTAATAGTTGATATTAGGTGTTAATTTGTTTTCGTTGGAAGTAGAAATCAAAAGTGCAAAGTTAAAATGTTTTTTGAAACGTCGATGTGTATACAAAATGAGAACCATCAAATACATAATTTTAGTGGTACAATATCCCAATTAATTCCTGTCAGAATAACGATGCATTTAAAATAAATAGGTTGGATAGAGATAAAGTCCAATTACTTGTTAATGAACATTTGCCGTGTGGTAGCTAGTTGAATACTATCTTTTTTTATTTCGGCTGTTTTTATTAGCTCATATATACAGCGCTTCTGCAGTCAATCTTTCATTATGTGCCAAAACCTTTCTGAAGTATTTTGGTTCCTTCGAAATTGATCTTCTGCCCTGTTTCTAACATATGTAATGCTATCGACAACTTATTCTCTCTTTCTTATATATGGGCTAATAAGAACAGCCGATATAAAAAAAAGATGGTATTCAACTAGCTACCACACGGCAAATGTTGATTAACAAGCAATTGGACTTCATCTCTATCCAACCTATTTATTTCACATGCATCGTTATTCTGACAAGAATTAATAATCCACGATGTGAAACTCGCTGGGACGACGTTCGTAGTACATGCCTAATGAATAGAGAGACCCAGGACTGATATAAATCAAATTATATTACGCAAACACCCTGAATACTGAAAGAAAATTTGGACAGTGGAACGATCCATAAACCTTAAGACATTTATTTATAGAAAACTGAAATCGATGGACTATTATACTAGAGTTGAAGTTATACCCATGCTTTCCATCCTCATGTAGTTGTCGTGTCAGCTAAGATCAATGAACAGAGTTAATCGCCTGAGCGAAATGCCGATTTAAGGCTTTATAGTAAAACGAAATCTACATCCCTGATAAATAAAAAGCCCATGACAAAAATGGATGATAAACGATAAAACCTTACGTCCATTTTTATCCGGTGAATACAAAAGGCAATCCAATTTCACCACAAATCTGTCAACGTGAAGAAAAAACAGATAAGTTGGATAAATTAGGTCTTAAAAAACACCAACAACACTTTAAAATACAGTCCCAAGTAAATATTCTCGTTATAATTGGTAAACAGACAAATCAAGTAGAGACTGCCATAAATTCGCATCACTTCAATTTTTCAATGAAGCGGAAGCAGATCACTACGAGAAAAACCAATGAGTGAAAATAATTACATATGTTATGGTTGGTAAATAAAAATAAACCTATCCAAAATAAACAAGAAAAATCGAGGGACAAAGTAGAGTATTACAAATTTCAAGACCTAAAGAATTAGAAATAATTAGAACACGGCTGTAACGGAATTAAAGGTATGACCTAGTCATCAAATACTGATTAATACCAACCCATGAACACCAAAAAACGTTTCTGTTCATCTATGGTCAGTGACCTCATAGTGTGATATCTTGCTCCAAATACCTTCGGCCTTCCGTCAACTAGCTGTTAAGCCGACCAGTAGACAAATATATCGCCTGAATCAATGGTAGTGTAAACTGACAAAAGTCAAGCTACCTCTTCATACTTCTAGTTGGTTGATCACTGGGTAGTGGTCAATACTAAGTCTGTCAGGTTCTCAGTACATATCAAATTGTTTGAACTGAGTTGCAATGCGGCCACTAGTCTAGGTGACTGGACATCATGTACGCTATGGTGAGAGATAGTGGTTGGAGGTAGTCGACAGGAAACCATGGACCTAGGTTTCGTACTATTTGGCACTTATTAGCAAGGTGTTCCTGTAATCTTGAGATGTTTTACTTTCGTCAAATCCCAAATGTTGCTTCGGAACTGGTCTGTACCAACGCTTACACTATTCATAAATGGGGGAATCGAGTAAACCTTGAATGACATGGCTCAAAATCATTTGCGATGGCGCAGGTACATTCACTATTCGTGTTCTCTTAAATTCTAGTCTTCCGAGTTCTTTGTCCATTTTTTCTCTTTCCAAATTTATTTCACTGAATTATACTACTTGAATAACATCAAATCCTAATCTTTTTGATTACTGCTTATACTTTTACTACCTCTACCACTATGGAATTTGAATCGACAATTGTGTCTCTGTGCTAATGCGGTATGGCACCTTGAACTGATGTACGTATGTACAAAGTTCTACGTTGTTGCTGACTGACTGACTCATCATGGACATACTAGAGTTGATTATAGTAAGGTCTAACATTTTTTAGACTGATCATTTTATTTGAAACTTTGAGTGACAGGGCTCAGAATCGTTCGCAATACCTCAGGTGCATTCACTTTGTCTTCCTGAGATTCTAAGTTTCTTAATTATCTCAAAATATTTTTGCTCAGCGGAACCGTATTTTCTTTCTGAATAATATTTAATACGCCTAAGCTTTTCTGATATTAATAATGCTGTCAGTACTTATACTCCTATGAAGCCTCGCTATGTTGATGTGGTGCAGCAACTTGAATCGATGCATATAAATCCAAGGTTCTATGTTGTATATAACTGGGATGAATATTTTTTTAGTGAATAAGAAGGCCCTTTAATATAAAGCCAACAAAATGTAGACTTTTAGAAAAGAGCATTTAAGGATAGTTGATATTTATTTTGCCGCTGTGAAACCTATGATAACACTTGCGGACTGATACATATCAATACTTAGTTATTAACTTAAACACATAAACATTGGTACAAGGAGGCCCCAAATGGATATGCGCCACATAAATCATTCGATGTATGAGGGCTGGGATACTGCCCGGGTGCTCAAACCGAAGCAGGTGGTTTGCTTAGGGGGCCACACCCCGAGCCTTCGGCCTGAAGGTCTGATCCACAAAGCAGTGGAGCATCGTAAGGAGATGCGGTCCCATGGTAGCCGGTGACTAACAATGGGTTCACACGCCATTTGTTTCCTTAGGATCCTAGATCCCATGTGTACCATTGGTTTGGAATGAGGGTTTTCCAACTCCCCTCGATGGACCCTCCGAGCTCACCAACCCGTTTAAATCGCCGGACATTCGCTTTTTGTCCTCTCAATTTCGTAGACAGTAATGCCGCAAGAAGTCAGTGAGTAGAACTTCTCTGGCAGTGGTTGTATACGTGTGGCCATGTGAGAGCATTTTGAGAGAGCTGACTCTCCCCACCCTCGACCATACCAGAGCATTTTGGGGCAAATAATGATAACGGTATTTGCGTGGATGTATTTTCGGTCAGTGAGATTGATCGGTGTTTTAGTTGTTGATGGTTGAGATATTACGTGTAGTATGTCAGTCATCGACTACTGTAATTCTCTACCAAAACACGTAGTACCACCGCCCTCTGTTGATATATTAGAAGCGAGATTGCATTCCAACAGAACTATAAATAGCAGGGATTAATGTTGACTGACTGACCTATCCTTACTACTAAAGACTGAGTATACAGGAAAACGTTTGACACGAAATCCGATTAACTTAAGATCAGGATTCTGCTAATGATGTAGCAAGGGTGATTGGTGAGTACATTGTTACGTCTCTTACTGCATACATCTTGCTAGCACGTTTCAGCCAACACGACGTATAGGGCCGTGTTAAAAGAAAAGGTCTAGTATCATTAACACTTGTAACAATATGGCCTGCATTCAGTGACTTGCCCAACTCAGTCAGTCAGTCAGTCAGCTACAACGTAGGACCAGGCACATATGTGCATCGGTCCAGGTTGCCATACCTCATTAGCACAACAAGATGAACACCGGATTCATAGCAGTGGTTAGGTCAAAGGTTGCAATAAGGATTAGTTCGTAGAAAGAAAGATATGAAGTGATTTAATCTCTTAGTTTAAGGGAAGACAGGGAGTGTATACACCGACGCCATTGTGATCGATTCTGAGCCATGTCACCAAGAGTCTCCAACCATTGGTTACGAAAGTCACGCGGACCCCAACCAAGTAGTCTGCATCTACCAACATGGCTAAGACTAGAAGTTAGTGACTTCAAGCACTGATGCCACGTTTTGGTTTGGCCGCCCCTAACTTTCTTCCAACCATCCCCTACACCGGTTAGCATTGCACGTCGTGGTAATCGGTGTTCAGGCATACGTAATACGTGGCCCAACCATCTCAGTCGATGAAGATTCATAACCTCATCAACTGATTTACCATCATTCCCTAATACCCTGCGTCTAACCTCACTATTACTTACCTGGTGATCCCAGCAGATGCCAGCAATATTTCTAAGGCATCTGTGGTCAAATACTTGTAGCTTACGGGTGTCTTCTACTCTTAAAGGCCATGTTTCGCTGCCGTAAAGTAAGACAGAACGGACTGCCGCGCAGTATACTCGTCCTTTTATTGATAGACGGATATCTCGCCTCCGCCAAAGGTGACGTAAGTTGGCAAAAGCCAAACGAGCTTTTCGAATCCGTGCTGAGATTTCGTCAGACACCAACCCATTAGGGCTGATCAGACTTCCAAGATAAGTGAAGTTGTCAACGCGTTCGACTACTTCACTCCCTATCCTTAGTTCAGGTGTTGACGCAGACCAGTCCTGAAGCAACAACTTGCATTTAGAGGGAGAGAAGCGCATCCCAAACATTCTGGCATTGTTGCTTAGTGCTACCAGAAGACTCTGCATTTTGTCAGCGTCTTCACCAAACAGGACTATGTCATCTGCGTATTCTAAGTCGATAATTGGACCTCCTGGTAGGAGATCAATACCCGAGAACTCAGTCGACGAGAAAGTTATTTCCATCAGTAGATCTATGATGAAGTTAAACAAAAATGGAGAAAGTGGACAGCCTTGACGGACACCACTTGAAGTTGCAAAAGTAGATGACAGTTCGCCATAAGCCCTGACTCGACTAGTAGTGTTCGAGTAAAGAGCCTTCACAAGGTTTATGTACTTCTGAGGTACGCCTTTCAATGACAGACACTGCCACAGAGTCTCGCGGTCTACAGAGTCAAACGCTGCTTTTAAGTCAAGAAAGACCACCATCGTCGGACGCCGATAGGTATGCCTGTGTTCTAGAACCTGACGAATGGTGAATATGTGGTCGATGCAGCCACGACCAGGTCTAAAGCCAGCTTGGTTCTCTCGAGTTTGTAGTTCACGAGTCTTAGTTAGGCGTCTGATAATTATCGAGGCCAGTATTTTAGATACTATGTTTGTTAAACTAATCCCTCTGTGGTTGTCACAGGATGATTTTGACCCTTTCTTATATATTGGGACGATAAGTGATTGCGACCAGTCAGATGGGATAACGTCTGACTCCCAGATCTTAGCTAAAATATTAGTCAACCTAATCGCTAAAATTGGACCACCATCCTTAAAGACCTCTGGAGCCAATCCATCTGGACCAGCTGCCCTTCCTCGTTTCAGATTAACTATAGCCTTTTGAACTTCAGCAAGAGTTGGGGGACCTACTTCAATGTTCCATTCACATTGTCTGGGAATGGAGGGTAGTTGTAGAGTAGCTGAAGGCCAGCTGAACTGTTCTGTAAAATGTTCCGCCCATCGTTCTAAACGTCTGGACTGGGAGCAGATGAGAGTATCATCTTTTTCCGAAATAATCTCACTTACACTTGACTTATTAATTCCAGTTTCTTTTATTAGTCTGTAAAGCTGTCTTGTGTTCCCTATAGTCGCTGCCTTTTCCATCTCTTTTGCTTTCGTTACCCACCACTGCTCACGGTCGTTCCTTAGACTTTTTCTTAACCTAGATCTGATTTGTTTTCGCTCTTCATCATGTTCAGAACCTGATGGGACGAGTTTGCGAGAATCCATCAGTGTGACAGACCTTGAAGAAATCCACTGGTTCCTTGCAACTCTGTGGTTTAAGTCACTAATAGATGTCACTGCTGTTTCCACAGCTGATTGTATGCTCTTCCAAGCAACATCTGGGTCAGCCTCGTCTTCACAACTACCTAAGTGTGACCTCAGTTGTTCCTGGAACCTACTTTTGGTTTTCTCGTTACTCAGCTCAGTT